ACAATCGGTGGACGCCTATCTACCATTGTTAATATTATCGATCAAAACCGATGAGACAACGAACTTGTGGCGTAGTGGGCTATAACGTTGGACCAATCTCAATCGTCCCTCTCGAGCTCTATACTCCTTATTACGTCTCGTTTAACTGTTGATCACGGTCCGCTAGAAGTGATAAAAACTACAGCGTTTTTGGGTATATAGAAAATATAAAGTAAGAAAAGCCAGTATTTTAGGGCATGAACAAGGGAGGCAGAATTTTAACTCGAAGAGTTTACCATTCGGTGACTTAAAATTCGGGACCTACTAGGGCGACCTTTGCAGGTGGCTTCTCTGGCGATCACAAATTCCAGCTTTGGAATTGACACTCATCTGACTATCTGGGTAGTAAGGGTTAAATTTTTAAGGGAACTGCATAAAAGTTGTTTTATGTCCACTTTCTTTGGAGATTTGCCTGATTCTGTGCAATTTTCCCCGAAGCTTTTTTCTGTAAAACAATGTCTACTATCCAGTAACTGTTCCAACTGCATCATTTTGGACCAAATAGACAGGCAAACCTACTTCTCACAGCATATGAAAAAGTATCTAAAGGGATTCGACTGTATGCCGGTAGTTCTTTGAGTGTTTCAGTAGCTCTTTTTATTGGAAGCTTGTTCATGAAACCCCGATGTAAGTAGATTTCATCCTCAACCATACGTCATAATTTATGATTACTGTGTCTTCATTACAAGTGTGGGTTTATAAAAATTTTGAAAAAGCGCTTAACGCGGTCGGGCCGAGTTTTCTGGGAAAAGGTTTTACGAGCACAGATCGATACTGGTAGTTTTCAGTATAATGGGGCTCCGGTTTGTGCAAAGTAACTCAGGTTGATCGGAAAAGGGATATGCAACAGGATTTGTGCAAAGTAACTTAGGTTGATCGGAAAAGGGATATGCAACAGGATTAGCTTGGGTTCGAATCACTTGGCTTGCCTTGTTGGTTATACTTAGAGAAGATAGGTAAGGCAAAAAGTTGTCTAACCGCGGAACAATTACTTAAGCAGCAAGTTCAGGATCCGGAATCTGCTACTGCTCTTTTATTTGTCTCTGATGACGAATCCGCGACGGATCTCGAAACGTCAGGCGAATAAAAGTATTGTCCCAGTGACCGAGTCATCTTCTTCTCAATTAGTTAAGCCTTTTATTTTAGCCCCTCGCTGATTCGCTTGAAGCTAAATGGATGAATTTCTTTAACAGCTTCTTAGACCGATCATTTACAATCACCAAGGATTTCTGAGACTGACTGAACCACTCCAGTTGTCACCTCTCATCTTCGGTAGCTGTTAGGGAATTCCCAATCATCGCGCCCATGACTTTCTGTGGGTTGTTCAAGTGCTTGAAAGGACAAATTATGGCATCGTGGCGAAATTTCCGAGTCCTCATTTTTTGTAAAGGTCACGTGGATTTCTCCCCTTTCTTCGTTTCTTTTCTCCCCAAGGCATACCTAACTATTTTGAAGATTGCGTAAACGGCATAATTTATTCGATCCGTGCATTTCGAGAATGTTTATCGACTCCTTCCTCTTGTTGCATGACGTGAGTAACGGAAGAGAAGACACAAAATTGAATCCATACAGAAAAGTCGATTCAAACAGCAAGGTCATAGGAAATGGCCACGAAAGCTAATCAATAATAACGCATGCAAGGTAAAATACTGTGGGAGGCAAAAGGTGGGGAAAAAGCGTATGAAGCAAAGAATTGTTCGGGCACGAACAACTCGTACTTTACGTTGGAGCATCTGGTGAACCTAATTTTGTCGTGGTAACATCCGACCCCCTGATTACACATTTCCCTGCCCAACTTTTTGCCTTGAAAGTGTTTTTCCCCCTTTTGATTCCTACAGTGTTTTAACTTGCTTGCGTTATTATCGATTAGCTTTCGTGGCCATTTTCTATGACCTTGCTGTTTGCATCGACTTTTCTGTATGGATTCAATTTTGTATTCACCCTTACGTTACTCACGTTATACAACGACCGGAAGCAGCTGATGAGCACTCTCGAAATGTATGGATCCAATAAATTCTGTTGTTTACGCAATCTTCGATTTTTGCACCAGGGAAAAGATGCTTTAAACTACCGAACTCTCTCTCTCTCTCACTCCAGACTGATGGCGTCAGCCCATTTTTTGTTTTATCCAGCCTTTAGGTAGAGCTATCCAAATACTACGAATTGCTGAGTAAGGATGACTTCTTTGACCGCCCAAAGAGGACACGGAAACAAGAACCACTCACAATAAATGATGGGGATTTGTGCCAAATTCCGGAGAAATTAGTTTTAGGATTAAGGTGAGAGTTAGACTTTAAGGTTGGGGTTAATGGTCAAGATTTTGGTTCGTATTAACTGTAGGGTTTATGGCTGGGGTTAAGGTTAAGATTAAGACTACAGTTTAGTTTTACGGCAGGGTTAAGACGCGAGAATATTTACCCTTCCAGAAATTTACACCAATGTCTCCTATTTTGGGACGGGCGGGACGTTCTTATTCACGCATCCTGATTGGGCGACACACTTACCGATAGTTGCTAAGCTTCAAGGTTTGAATAAATGCAGAACTTGGAAAGTAGACGATAAAAAAAATAAAACGCTAGATGACCGCAGGGAATGTAACCAAAATGACAAGTCTTTGTAGCTTTTTTGTGGCTTTTATGTGAAGAGCTCCCTTAAAAGACAACGCAGTTGAAAGGGCTTTTGTTAAATACCAAAGCATTGTTTTCCCGAAAAGTAATTGATACTCGTAATTATATGCCAAATTTACCAGAGTTTACTGCGGTTTTGGGGACTGTAGGGATGCAGTAGTTAGAAACGATGCCAAAAACGGTTTACCCCTTTGCTGCCTAGTTCTATTTCCTAAAATTTTACCAACACTGTAATGTATACTTTTCGTCGAAATGTGTGATGGGTTACATAAAATGTTTTCACAAGCCGTCAAGTAGCAAGCATACTGCTTTCTATGGGACACAACACAAGTTAATTCCTAGACAGCCGGAAGTTTCCTTTCGTGGGAAAATCCTTTCAGGTAAACTGTTTAATTGCAAGCCGAAAAAAGCTGCATTTGTCCTCTGTAGCTTGTACGCATCAAACTATATTCCTTCAATGGGATACTGAAAATATCCAGTAGCCATATTTATTCTCGTACTTTCTTTTTTCCAGAGAGCTACGGATATTTGCTCCACTAGGACCCCACCTGCAGAGATTGCCTGCATAAAAGTGGCCCTAATTAAGCGTGGCTATCCCTCACGTTTCATTCAAAAATACAGCAGTTCTTTACGGCCGAAATCTACGGAGCAGTCAAGTACGAAAAAAGCCTGTTTTATATCTTTACCCTTTAAGGGTGACAACATTTCAAATACAATTAAACGACGCCTACGTGGCACCATAGAGAAAACGTACAATAGAGTTGAACTTGTGTTCCTCACTCCCACTAAAAGCCTTCTAGTTAACCGGACAAAGGATGCCTTGCCTTTGCACGCCACTCCAAACTGGGTCTATGAATTCACGTGCACTTGCGGATGCAAGTATATTGGCCGTACGCAAAGGCAATTGGCGACCAGGGCCGCTGAACATTTGCTTAATTGGCTTTTTAAACACGAAAGCAAAGGACCACGGTCCCCCATTACAAAACACCGGCTAGACACTGGTCACTCTGTTGACCTCAACACATCTCTCTGAGCTCTTGTTCGAGCACTAACAAACCGGACCTTGCGCTACATGGAAGCAGCCTATATACGGCGGGAGAAACCCGATTCATGTAAGCAGTTGAATCATGTGGCCACTCTCCCATTGCCCTGGTAATCGTATGCCTACATTTAATAAACTTTTGATTTTTGTTAATTCCTGTCCCCACTTTTCCTTCCTCTACGTCAAGTCTAAAGGCGACATTATTATTATTGACAATTCACCGCATTTTAAAATAACCTTGCTGTTATATATTGATTCTGTGTAAACTCAACCTGCTGTTTTCTCCATTTTTTCTATCTAATTCATGCAAAACCAGGAAGCGGTGGAAAAGCTGTCCCGAAATTTGTTTTTACAAATCAATCCTGCTGTTTACGCTAGCTTTAAATTCGTCCTATATCTATTTGTTTTTTTGCGGGAGGATTGTATTCGTACAGATTTCCCAAATAAAATGGGTGAGCACACCGTTTGTTTGGGTATTTTTCCCACGTTTAAAGATTTTCTTGCCCCATTTCTCATTATCTGATTTAATGCGGAATCAATCTTAAGGTTAATTTCACGTGTGCAAGCGTATTTATATAATCTATTCAGCAAGGAGCACCTAATTTGGATAATTACTAAATTGGTTTTTTTTTCGAGTTAACCGGCAAATTTCGTCCATATTTGGGAGAGTATAATGGCTGTTTAACGCCAAAATCCGCGATGAACTAAGTCTTATGTAATTATCTACCGTAATGTCAGCCCAGGTGCTAACTAAAAGTCCAGACACCTGTTTCGCCGGTATTCTGCCACTACTTGACGCAGATGCAAACAGTAAAGACTCCAGTTTTGGCATTTAGACTTTCTAATTTCCTCAGAAATTAGTTTTTTTAACTTGGAGTATATCATTTTATTTAAGGTCTACAGGCGCAGACCTCTAGTTAAATATTTATTCACCTCCACTCTGTCCAGAAATAATCTTACTTTTCTACGAAAATGACGAATTTAAATCAGACCCTCACTGCCATTATGATGCCTTTTAATATGCAGACAAAGCAGATGGTACGCGTGTAAAAAAATAAATCTTTACTCAGTCTGGAAACAAAGGAAAAAATATGATTTCAGATAACAGTAAATAAGGGTTAGTCAGTGTTGACTGTTGAATAACAGTAATCCTGCGTAATACCTGTGTTTTGGTTGAACTCGAGCGGTCACTTGCCTCTGGTGTTTGCTTGCTCCTACGACTTCGCCTGCTCAGCGGAAAGGCAGACCCCTTTTCGGTGCTGTTCTTGTTCAGATCACGTGCCCTTCTATGATCAGAGTCTTTCAAAAGCCGTCGGGCAGGTGATCAGCGTTCGCAGGAGACCCCAGGTCCTTCTGGCTGCCAGCTCCATGGCTGAGGGCGTCTGACGTCGAAAGAGATTTAGCTGGGGCAAAAAGTAGTGTGGACAGTGACGATGCTGTAGGCAGGAAATGAGTTGCAGCAGGATTCCACTGATCCGATCAGGAATGGTATACTCCGTCCAGTCCTCCTCCTGTGGATGTTTCTCACATTCATGCAACACCAGGGTTTTTATGTAGTAGTCATGAATTAGCGGCGGACCCTCGCCGGCCATTTTAGCTCCGTAGCACTCGTCAACCGGGTGTTGTTGAGAGCCCTCCTCGCTGGTGGAAGCTAGATGACGTTCAACTAGGGTGGTTAGGATGTTCAAACAGAGTTGACGAGAACCCTGGTTAAGCAGACTCTCCTCAGCTTCATAGAAGTCCAACAGCCAGGCGTCGCCCTCAGCAGAAGTCTGCTTGTCGCGTATGTAGGTGGACTCCTGGCTGAGCAGGGTGAAGCCCTCGTGTTTCACCTCAGAAATCAACCTGGGTGGCGGCCAAACCATCCACACATTTGGATTGGTCGATCGATTGTTGGTGGGCCAATGACTGGCTGAGCGCGGCCACAGACCCTGACAGCGAAAGGCCGGCGTTATCTGCAAGGTGTATCGATCGCGAATACGGATACGCACTTCGCTGTGCTGACCCACCAACTGCAGAATGCCGCGATAGGTGCACTTATCGATCGCCTGCGCCACCAGACTGTGAAAACGCACGCGAATCTTGCGTGCAGAGAGGTAGCCGGAAGCGGTGATAAATTCCACCCAGAGGGACATTGAGCGCTTGCGTCCATCGGAGAGTTTGAGGACGGCTCCACCGGGTACACTGCCATCGTCGACGAAATTAAAGACACCCATCTGGTTGAGAAAGAGAATAACCTCAAATTCCGTCGCGGAGTTAACTCGCAAACCTTCGTAGAGTTCCGCCTCGACGCCCAACTTACTCG